AAGAGGGACAGAAACAGCTGACAGCTCGCTGGAAGTGCTGATGTGATCCTAAGGCCATCAAGACGACACAGTCTTGGCCGCACAAAAGGAAATGTGTACTTTGGAACAGAAAGGCTGGGGTTAGGGTGTCCCTTTGTTCTGAGTTGGGACACATTTTAAAGAGCAGAAAGTAGACAAATGAGTGGTCAGCAGAGTGTCACGTGAGAAGTAGAGGCTCGAGTCTGTCTGGCATGAAGGCAAGGCAGAAAGGATAGAAGGATTAGAGTTGTTTTTCATAACCCAGCCATCACAGGAAGGTACTCTGGTTATCGTCGTCTTACAAATGGTACAGCAGCTTCAGAGATCTTATGCACCTTTCAAAGCCACACAGCCAGAAAAGGGTATGACTCGGGATGCCACTCTGATGGCACGCTTGCGGCCTCCCTCCCACAGCAAGGCCGCAACACTGCTTTCCTGTCTGCATCTGCTATGACATCGTTATATTTAGGAGCCACAAGGAGACTTACCTGGCTGCCCTGCAAAGACGTTAAGTCTTGGGACACTTGCTCAAGTAACTGTTTGAGTTTCTTCTCAATAACGTGTACCTTCTCTTCAGCCTCAATATAGTCTTCTCCGTGCCCCTTGATAAGAAGGCTCTCTGAAATCTCTTGTAAGGAGTTTATTTGAGGCTGACGTTCCAGTAGGTCCTTTTCCAGTTGCTAAAAACAAAAAAAAGTGTGTGAAACAGTTAAGCGAAGCACAGAGTGTGGCCGGATGAGGCTCTCTCAGTGCCAGGACAGTTCCAGGGTAAACGATGGGTGGTGCTCCACTCCAGAACCTTCTACTTCTCACACCTGCCTGTGTCCTCAAGCCTAACATCATTTAGATAGCAGGTCGGTTACACCTACTCCTGTTTTCTAATTCTCATCCTGGAGACAACTGTGATGCTGGAGGAGTTAAGGAGAAAGAAGAGAGAGAAGACAAAGCCCTTGTATGCTGATGACAGGAAGTCAAGGGAAAATCTAAAGTGGATAAATTGAGGAAAAAACAGAGGTATCCGGCAACTCCACTTTTATCTGTGAGCGTCTTTATCGTGCTGTCCAACACGGCAGCCAGTAGACAACATGTGGCTATTTAAATTAAAACAAATCGGTTTCAATCCCAAGAGCCCATTTCGAGTGCCTGATAGCTACCTGTGCTGGTAGCTGCCACCGTAGACAGTGCAGACAGAACATTTCCGTCATCACAGGAAAATTCTATGGGGCAGTGCTGTCTGGAGACTGGAGCTTTACAAAGGTTTCAGTATAAACCTCTATGTTTTTTTAAGCAAATATAAAATTAAACCACATATAAATATATGGATAAAAATGTCACCTTGAATGTGAGGTCTCATGTTGGCTTGTTAAATAAATATGTGGAAACACAACTACTCTCCAAGAAATAAGACTTTTCTATAGTGAATATAGAAAACGCATACAGCTCATCATGGCTGCAGATTATTCCCCCAAATGAGCCACATTTACAAGGGAAATAAACACCTTCGTCACATATAAATATATGGATAAAAATGTCACCTTGAATGTGAGGTCTCATGTTGGATTGTTAAATAAATATGTGGAAACACAACTACTCTCCAAGAAATAAGACTTTTCTATAGTGAATATAGAAAACGCATACAGCTCATCATGGCTGCAGATTATTCCCCCAAATGAGCCACATTTACAAGGGAAATAAACAACTTCGAATAGCTTTAAGTTTCTCAGGATATTGCTAAACACCTTCGTTCCCAGTTCCCAAGTCTTGATGACTTTCTGCTCTGGGCCGTGGGTCATCTGCTTCAGGACCACGAAGGGATGGTCAGTAGACACCCACTGGAACATGAGGGCAGAACACCGCTCTGGCACTGCTGTTCCCAGACACGAGGTGAGGCTGAGTACTGACCTCCTGAGAGAGGCCGTGGAGGTACAGAACCACTTAGGAAGAAACTTACCATTAGTTCTTCCCGACGTTCCAGGAGCACCTGGGAGTCTGCCTTTGGGTCAGTGACATGAGCCTTCTGCCTCCGGCTCTCGGCGCTCGCTAGCCACAGTAGCAGATTTTGACTCAACTGGTGGAAGTCCTTAAAAAATAACACACATCATAGCACTGACCTTTCGTAAAACTGAGGAGGAAGGTGTGCTTGCTGTTTCCTGTCCGTCAGAGTCATCTCTTCTCCTTGCCTTATCCAGTGAATAAAAGGGCCCAAAACAAGGAACAGGGGAAGCAGAGGAGGAGAGTACACCTGGCACAGCCCCAGGAGCAGGATGAATTTTGCCAAGTGAAAGAAAGGCGGGGCTTCAGAATGTCCCACTTGACAGTACAGAGGAAGACCACACAAATTCCTTGACAAGTTTGCTGGGTTTAATGGGCTCAGGGAGACAATCCAATAGGGCTGCATGTGGGTGGGCTTGCTGGTGGCTCATGTTCCTCAAGATGGGGTCAGAGCTAACATGGGCTGAGCACTTACTATGTGTCAGGCGCTGGACTAATGACATGCATGCAGTCCTAGAAAGAACCCTGTGAGGTAGGCACTCGAATTATTTCCATTTTTCAGAGGAGTAAACTTAGGTCTAGAAGGTTAAGTGATTTGCCAAAAGTCAAACAGCTCCTAAGGCTAGGTTAAACTGCTCCTTGTTCCAGGGTCAGGTCTCTTAATCATTCTGTTAGTCAGCCTTCCTGGCAAAAGGACAGAGATGGGGCAGTGCCGAAATGGCACTTCTGACCCACTGGAATGCTTGCTGGCACCCTTACACCAGGAGCGGGCGACAGCCCAGGAGACGCAGGGCAAGCATTAGGCCTGACAGCGGGTAGGCCTCTGGAAACGAATGGCAAAGCACATGTTTGCTAACACAAGCCATATCTGGCTGCACCAAAGCGGCCCAACGATGCTAAAAATATCTGCTGCCCCCACCCACGTGGGCCTGGCTGGGCCCGGGACTGGGTCTCAGGTGCCAGCTGCGGGCGGTGTACCTGGCACTGCATGAGCGACTGCCGTAAGCTCTCTCTCCAGCTCTGCACCGCGCCCTGCGCCGCGTCCCAGTGCAGCCTCAGCTGGCCGACTCTCTCCTGGAGCTCTTTGGACTCGGTGCTCCCGGTCTGCACAAATTCCTTGCTGTTCACGTTGACAGAGACCACTAACGCCTTGTAGGTGTCAAAGGCCTTTAGTATCTCCTACCACAGAAGAGGAGACTGGGTGAGGTACTCTGAAGATAGTGACGTGGGGTTCATTTTGAACCTCAGCAGGGAACGGATCTTCCAAGCACTTCTCCAAGCTATGGCCACAGAAACAAGAGCAACCTCGCCTGTGACTGGTTAGGAAGCGTCAGGTGAGGGAGCTGCCTTACAAGGTCAGTGAACTTGGCCGGCCGGGCTGAGAGAGCAGAGGCCTGTCTCCCGGCCAGCCAACTCAACCAGACCCCGCTGATCTGGTTGGCTTAATAACAATCCTGGACCAGATTAAAAGCCTTCCAGAGAAAGTACACGTAGTTATCTTGCATTTGCTCCTAAGTATCATGGAGTATTATTACTCCTTAGGATGAATGGTTACCCCTGATATGATAATGCACAAGTAAAACAAGAGTACAAATATGAAGACTGCCTGAGTCTCCCCAATCCCCTGCCCAGGGTCCTTTTAGGAGCGCAGGCTCATGCTCAGGGCCCCTCAAAGTGCAGGGCCCAAACTGCCCTACCTGCTGCCTGGACAGGCATTCCAGAGGAACAGGGCTGACTGTAGGTGACAAATCCTAACTGTAGTAGAGTAACCAGATCAAGCCACAGAATTCATCAGTAGGTGAGCTGATACTCCTCTCCCCACCCTCAACTCTACACCACCAGACTGGACTGTGTACAGTTGGGGAAGGTGTTTTAAGCTGCCTCTCAGTAGCCACTAGCACCTCCAAAACAGCAGTGCCTGCAGGTGCCTCTGAAGTCAGATCTCTCCAGCTCTGGGCATCTGAGCCGTCCGCCTCCGCACCCCCAAGGCCGCCCCCTTTGCCCCCCGCCCCCAGCACTGCGCTGGGAACATTTGAAGATGCTCTTCTGAATGAAACAAAGATCTGCATCGTGTCCTTGCCAGTTACAGAAGTGAGATGGAAGAGGCTGATGGCCACTACACACCATCTGCAAGTTGCCACCTACCCCACTAGCAGAGCTGGTCTGGCTGTTCAGCATAGCAAGCGTTTGCACGCACGGGCTGATCCCTCTGCCACTCGGCCCTGACTCACCTTCAGCCTCTTCACTCTGAGTTCCATCTCCTGGATATTGGAGGGAGGCTTTGCCGTCTTTAACGTTTCTAGCTCTGCTTCAGTTTTCTTCAGCCAGGTGGTGATGTCGCTGATATCAGAGTTCAGCTGCTGCAAGTTTTGTTTTATTCTGAGTTTCTTGTGAAGTTCTTGTGCTTGAACCAGCTCCCATCTGTCAAAGGCACCTGGAATAAAAAGCCGCCAATAAAAAGAAGCGATCACGTAAACAGATTTCTCTGCCTCTGGCTAATTCAGGGTCAGGGTGATAAGACCTGCAGAGGATGCTCCTTGCCAGAGGCTCAGCATTAGGGAGTCATCGCTTCCCCCAGAGAGTGGAATGGCACACGTTTCCCTTGCTCTGCTTCAAAGCCGGGGCCACCACACTCCCACCAAGGAGGCGGGAGCGGGGTAGGAGACCCCCAGCACGCTGCCTGCTAATATGTGTAACATGGTCCGAGTTTAGCATTTCAGTTCGTGCTGTTTTCAGGGCGCTTTTCCCTTTGGCCCATGAATAATCAGATTAGTGCTCTCAGCTTAACCTTACACTTAGCTGAGTAATTACTTTTATAAACATTGAACTGGGCTCATGAGGAAACACCTGACACAACTCTGATCATCTTCATGTCTGATCTTTACATACATGTGAAGTCATTAAAACATGCACTTCATCATCTGAGACTCATTTTGTCAATATTTAAAGAATAGTTTTGAAAATAAAGTGAACAGCCTAGGAATTTGTTCATAAATACAAGTCAGCTGATTCTAAAATAACATTGGCTGCTGTTGGATAAGTAGCAATTTTGGTGAATTATACAGTTGGTTAATTCCTAATGTTCTGTCGAGCAATGACTTAAATTCCCGACTAACCCAAAATACACACTCTACCCCTCTTAACAACAGCCTGATTTACCTAATGTTCTGTCGAGCAATGACTTAAATTCCCGACACTCTACCCCTCTTAACAACAGCCTGATTTAACTGTACCTGGCTGTTGCCCGGTGACGGCGGCCAGTCCTTCGTCCTCCTGCTGTGGGCTGCCATTCAGGACTCTTGGGCCTTCTTTGCCACCATCGGTGCCTGGAGATAACGGCAGCTTTACCTAGAATGAGCCAATTTTTACATTACCTATAAATCTGAAAGGCTGTCTGAAGAGTATCTTGGTTCATGTTACACAGAGAAGAGACGAAGATATGAGAGCCCTTTTCTTCCAAAGGTAACTTGCTGGTCCCAGATCTGCTGCAGCACATGGGAAGCATTCATGAGCAAGCAGGGCTGATGGCGGACGTAAGGCCTCAGCAAAGGCCCAGGGAGGGGGAAGCAGTGAGATGTCAATACTGGGAATAAAATGGCCTGATTTAACTGGAGGGTTCCTTACATTCCCTCAAAGGAACCATGCAAAAAGAGTTCAAACAGTTGTTGAGCTTCATAGGCTATTAAGTTGTGTCAGCGCTTTTATACTTGCATGGTGTTTGACAAAATTTTAGTTCTCTCTCCCAGTCACTTTGTAGAGCTAGTGGGCATTACTGTCACCAGGAATTGGAAACACAGAGGACAAATCTGCCTCCTAGGGTCATTCATTACCAAGCATTGATCTTTCGCTGCACATACTGACTCTTCTGTCATCTATCACAGAGCTGATTGGGCTATTATCTCAGGCCTTTCCAAAAATAAATGCATCCTTTTTAGAAAAGCCAGGCTGGCTTTGGATTGTATCCATATGGCCTACTGTGTGGAATGAAAAAAAAAATAAAATAAACCCTTCAGATTTGTGGTGACGCGCCTGGTTTCAGACACCAAAAAAAGGGTCGAGCTTTCGAAACTGGCCAGGTAGGAACACAACCAGTCACCAGGAGAGGCCAAACCACATAGCCCTGGATGTAGAGCACAGATGAGATGATGGGGTCTCTTTCCCCCAAGATTGTCAGGTCTTATTCTGTACCACGGAGACAGATTAAAAATGACACCTGCTTGCTAAGCAAGAGGAAGTTTCTGAATTGGGCATGGACAGTCCATTATCGAATGACGCGGGTCTGACCAGGTACAGCCAGAATCTTTTCCAGTTATCTAGCCATATTCACTCCTAAACACAGAGGGCACTTTGAGGACTACTGCAGTGATGCTCATATTGCTTCTGGTTTCTCTAAGAGATGACACTAAAAATACACAAGACATTTTGATTTCGACTCGCTTGTCACTCTCTTGTACTGAGAATGCTCGGGGGCCAACGTTAAATCCGAGGCTGGCTAATCCCCAACAGCTGCATAGCCAGAGGCACGCAAGGACGGATGCTGCCCGAGGGAAATGTAGCTAAGAAGGAACAGTCACTGTTATAAATCACAACAATAACAACAAACCACATACATAGCATATAATAATAACAGCCACTTCTGAGAACCTTCTCCATACCTTCCTACACACTGATCATAAAACAAGTCAGGTACGTTTATCCTCGGGTGAGGAAGACTTAGAGAGGCAGGGCAAAGTGCTTACGGCTCTAGAGCAATTCACCGGTAGGGCTAGGAGTCAAACCCAAGTCTACCATAGCACACAAATCATTCTGGACATGAAGTCATAATTTTTTGAATGGAGAGTGTGGTTAAGAGGTAAACATAACAAAGCTTCTGGAGCTCAAGAGCAGCTCAGGAAAGCTTGCATTTTGCTTCTCCATTATTTGCATGGATAACTGACTCAACAGTAATAATCACTGTCGTATCTCGTCAACACACACAAAAACGGCTTTTGGCCAGAAATCTGTCTTTAACTCTAGTCATTTTTGCCAGGGTTCTAGTGAAGTATGTACAGCTCAGTAGAAATACTGACACCATGGGAAAACCAACTTGAAATGTGCCTAGGGAGTGAGCACACACAGTATACATCAAAATCTCTCTCTAGAAAAATTTAAACTGTTACTCATGCACTTGAGTTATACTCCCAGTGGGTCAAGACTTACACAGGCTGGTTTATAAGGGGTGCTGGAATCTGAGGGGATGGGTGGTGCATTCCTATCCCCTCCCATTTGTTTGTAGCGATGCTTGGGGCAGGAAGGACTGTCAGGAACATGCCAAGAGTGACCCTCGGAAATGGATTTACCTGAAACAAAAAATAGCAAGTGACTGTCCATTCTCTCCAACCCAAGAATTCACGTTTAGTTACACAGAAAAGGTCATGGGTAACATGGCATCAGGTTACAGTATGAGTTCTGCAGCTTTCCTTGCAAAGCATGCACGTTTGCAAAATGTCAGTATGTTCCAGAAGGGAATGAAATGAGAGTCATGCAACTGAGCAACACTGGGCCTTCGCTAGATGGGTTCACGATGGAGCACAACATATGATTTGCTGCTGGACGAATGACGTTTCGGAGCCGGGATTTCTAGTGGTGGGGACACTGGCAGCGAACTGTGTCTGGGGGCCAAGAGGACCGAAGGCCTGTCAGGAGTGAGGGGAAGAGAGAACAGCAGGACGGACTTGGGGACCAAAGGGCTGCTCACTGCAGATGGGATGGGGCAGGGAATAAAGATTAGAGCTGCAAGTCAAGGAAAGAAGGTTTCTTCTCCTGTGGAATTGCAACAACAGTACCTCTGCCCCCACCTACCCACTCACCTCACCCACCCTCTCGCCAGGAAATCACCGTAAGCAAGGAAATAGTTCCAAACCAAGCCACCGTGAAGAAAGCTTGGCCCATGCCAAAGGACTTGAGTTAGAGGGGAAATAAAAATGTAAAAAGGCAGCATAAAAAATTCCCTTCTGCACAAGCCTGAGGGGGAGGAGAGGGAAGGCATCGAGACTGCTCTGGTCCGGGCGGGGTTTTGTAAGGAGCACGCAGGTATGTGTGAGTATGGCAGCATAAATACACCATGACACAAAGACCAAGGTGCATGGTGTCCACAGAAGGCAGAGGTCAGACATGGCATGGGAGCGAGGTTTAGGATGCAGTGTGCGCCACAGGATGCTGCCAGGTTGAGACACATGCACGGGCAGGGGCCTACCAGAAGACGCTTTCAAAGTTTTTGTGGTCATTTTAAGATATGCCTCAGGATTTTCAGGGATTTCTACATCTGAAAAAGAATAATGTCATTTTCCTCACTGCAGGCGTCTGTAGATGAATGCCCAAGTATTAAAGTTAAAACAGTAGAAACATTGTCAGCTGGAAGGAGAAAAGTAACTATCCTTTTTCTGTTTTATTAAAAAGCTTTAAAAACCCAGAAGGATTTTTTTCAGCCAACTCCTGTCTGAAGCAGTGGTGGGGGAGGGGAAGTACATAGAAAGAATGGAAACAATCTACTGATACTCTGCAAAACTCAAACGAAAAGTTCACTGATAAGCCAGAGCCATAAGTGAATAGCCTTACTGTCCCAATGTGAATTTCGTTTTTTTCCCTTTCATCCCACCTGTAATAGGAGCGAGCCAACTCTCAGGTGAGTGCTAAGAGGGCAGGACAGAATACAAGAAGCCACGGGAAGTCTGTGTTAGCCATAAACTGGACTCTTGATCATCAAGAGTTGGCCATGTTGCTAAGGTGCTAAAAACAGAGCCAAATGGGTCAATTTCAAGGGCTCTGGAAGCCTAGGCCGTTCGTTACCTGAGAGGGCACTGTAGTATGGACCCTCCTCGTCGTCTTCGTGAGAGGAGGAGCCCCCCACATCGCCCGTGTGATCCCACTCCAGGGGGATGGAGTCCACGCTGACAGGGGTCTCGCAGCCTGACCGCTCGGGCCCCGGTGCCGGAGGCACCAGATGACAAAGGGACTGAGGAGACGAGGGCTCCTCCATCTCTCTCCTTTTACGCCAAGAGTCAGTCTGGATCTCTCTGGGGTCTTCCACGTCCGTTTCATTCTCAGAGGCCTCCTTTTCATCTTCCAAGCCCTGAAATGAGAGTGTCCGGTTTTCAGAATTAACCAAATCATAGGCTGTTGCAGTTGTGAGAAGCATCAGAAGTCTGCCTGTCCAACAGCTCCTGAAAGTGGACACTATCAACATTTCTGAAAAGCTTTAAAAAGAATCAGGTTCTCAGGCCTTGTTTGTGGTCATTTCAATTCAGACTATTTAGTGTAGGGCCTAGAATCCATATTTACCAAAATGCTACCTTCTTTTCTAGGAAAAATCTTAAATTCGATAATCTAAACAACTTTATCTGGAAGATAAGGAAATGGAGGCCAAAGTTTCATTGATGGTTAATGGTAGGTTCCTCCAAGAATCAGAAAATTAAATCTTTTTAAGGCCATTAGAATGTTCTGAATAAGAGTCACATGTTCAAGGACCATAGGTATCGGGTTTTTTCTTTCTTATCCCTAATCTTATTGTTCAGAATACAGAATCTTATCCTCCTTGTGCTATAATGACTAAGGAAAATAACTATAAATTGCTATATTTTAAAATGAGGGTAATGCAGATGATTTTTCAGGCTGTGTCTGATATAGAAATTATGTTTGAGGTTGGCCAGTCGGACACACAAGAAAAGGTGGTCAGCTGTTATCAGTCAATGGTCATCATCAAAGTTTCTGGCATACAAAAGCAGTGAACTTTGAATAATGGCCTGAACTCCACCTTAATTTCCCCAAAGCCTCCTTTATCAAGGGAAACATCACGGCTGCTTTCAAAAGCTGGTGCTCTGGGCACTTCAGTGGTGAGAACAAAGCACCAGAAAGGCACAGATATTAAAAGCTCCCAGATGTTAAGATGGAAGAAAATGCCAGTGTATCCCCAAGACAATGCTGTAAGCAACACCAGAACAGTTATCAACGTACTCTCGGGGTGCTGACACAGGCCAGAAAAGCCCTGCACTGAGGAGCTTGGGGAAAACATGCCACAGGGGCAAGAACTTTCAGAAGGGCCGTCCTTTCCACTGGGACATGGGACCTTTCGAGTAACTGTGGCTCTATACTCACAAGAGCGGACATAAAATTTCCAACAGAGCTTTTTAATCATACGTTTGGTCAAACATCAAGTCTGAGGGGCCGGATGCCCTCTGCGGGCGGCCTTCTCCTCACCGGAGCGTGGGAGGTGAGCCGCTGGTAGAATCGGGAGACCCTGCCAAACACTTCCTGGCAGTACCGGTGGAGTTCCTCCAACTCGTCCTCAATCAGCACAGCATCTAGGGGCTCGCTCTTCTGAATCAGCTGCTCCCCAAACACAATGAGCTGATCAATCTTGTTGGTGTTTAATGTAATTTCCTGTTGGAAACCCTGTTTAGGATATAAAACAGGATTTCAGAGAAAGGAAATTTCTCCAAAGATTCAGACAATGTCTGTTTCTGATAACGAGGCCACAGAAAAAGCATCAAAATACCATTACTGTTTTGTTGCTCCACCTAGCACTCTAGCTTCATCAATTTTTAACAAGGTGACAAAAATTTAATATATATTTATTTGATAATTTAAAACGATTATATATATATTTTTTCCTCCCCCTTCCCAAGAAGGGAATAATGTGAGATTAAAATGTAATGCAGATTATCTGTAACAGTGGGAGAGGAGAAGGTATCTGTTCTTGGCCCCACTCCTGATAGATTTTTCCTCCTGTTATACCTCAACAAGTTGTACTCAGACCCGAGTGCTGGAGAAACAGCATCTTACAAACTTCTGTTTGGAACCTAAAGAGTGTTCTCCCCTTGATTATAAACGACAAAGAGAAAAAAGGGCCCCGTTCCAAAAACCCATGGCTGCAAGGAACAGTATCCTTGCCCGTGATAACCCAGCTGTACACAGGTGGGTGCAGCCTGGCTGCTTTAACGATTCTAGAATCTGCTCTCAGGGTATCAGGTGACATCTGTACTTGGCCAGCTCTCCTCTGCAAAGGTGCATTATTTCAAGAGGAGTTAAGGAAGCGGGCTTACGTTCAGCTGGCGCATCTTGTCGTCGGCGTCGCTCTCAGAGAAGTGCTCCACGTTGGTCAGCTGCAGGTCCATCTCTGTGAGCCACACCAGAATGCTCTCCCTGGTCCCCTCAAATTCCTCCCTTTGATTGGTGAAATGCTGCAAAAGGGGAGAAGGGACCACATTTGTGTTGATGGCTGGGTGAGAGTTCAGGCAGACAGCAAGGTCACTTCAGGCTGAACGGGTTCCTGGAATACTCACAGAGAAATTTGCCTTTGGGTACTACAAGGGGAAGGGGACACAACGAGGCATTCAGGGACCAGCATGGGGTCAGGAGCCTGGGGTTTGGCCCTGGCTGTGTGATACCAAACAAGTTCCTCAACTTCTGTGAGTCTCGGTGTCTTCTCTGGTAAATGAGAGTATAGGGATGGTGACTATATCTCTAAGGTCCTTTCAGCATTTGAAATTCTACAATTCTCTAGTCTAAGTCAATGATTTCCCCAAAGTCCAGGCCAGGAAACCCCTCAGGGTCCACGCCAGGCACCTTGCCTGTTTTTACCCATTAGCCATCATTGGAAGCTTTTGATTGACAGAAGGATTTAGTAAGCTTCAAGATGGAAAAGTACTGATCTCAAGGTTGAGCCTGGCTTAGTGCCCCATTTGCGTTCACTGATGTAATTCTGAGTGTGTTTCTTCAGAGAAAGAAGACCCAGAGGAGGAGATTTGTCACTCCCAATTAAGGATGCCTCTCAGGTAAGAACCACCTCAGAGAAGGGCAGCAGATTCTCAGACAAATGTAGCATTCAGTGCCAAATGAGGGATTAGACTGGCCACAGTCAAATCAGCAGGAGATAAAGAAATTAATGCAAGGGGCCTGTCTGAAAAACTAGCCAATTTCTTCCTGAGAGGGTTGAAAAAAAAAAAAAACAGCTTAGATTTTCATCTCCTTAGAATGGTTTCAAGAGCATTCTGTCCTGAAAACAGAAGCAGGGATTAAAATTACTTCCTGCAGACACAACACACACCGGTCCTGGCAGTTTGCACCTGGACTCTCAAAGGCTGACATATCACATCTTCTGAATTATAGAAATCTAAGGTGAATGTTTACATTAAAAAAAAAAAAAAAAAAATCAAACCCAATTTCTGAGGTTTGTCAATGTACTCTGAAATTCAGATGATAATAGCTGTCCCCAACCTCCACAGTGCAGAGGAGGCTTTGTCCACGTCCCTCATGGTGCCAGAGCGAACAGGACATAGAAGCAGGCAGATGGGCAAAGCGGGCCCCTTTCCAGGCTAAGTGGTCCAGACCCAGCAACAGTGGCGCCCAGCTCTGGGCAGTCTGTGAGCGGACGTGCACACTGTCAGTGGTTACAGAATTTGAAAAAGGAGATGTATTTGGTAACACAAATCACAAACAGGCTCTGCCTAAGAAGCCTGTTCTTAGGCAAAAGACCACTTAAAAAGCTGGCAGCTTTGAGCTTCAACACAAGGGAAGGCTGTGTTGGAAGACTGTTAAGATAGCTTAGGCCTTCAATGAAATCTTCTACCCACTGCTTTGTTACAAGCTGATAGCGCATCTCACTTCTCCTTGAAGCTCTACAAATAACCCGATGACGTAGGTTACCCGGAGCCTCCGCAGGATGGCCGTGACCCGCTTCTGGAGGTTGTCCCAGTGCTGGTTGCCCTCGTGGACCATCTGCTTCAGCCTGCTGGCCGTGTCGGTGCGGTTCTCCCGGGCCAGCCGCCGGTACTGCTTGTTGATGAGCTCCAGCTGGGTGAGCCTCTCGTGGATCTGCCGCTGAAAGGCCTGAGTCACACAGAAGAGCCTGTCAGTGCCAGAGCGCGCAGGGTGCCAGGACGCCCAGTTCCGAACCCCACATGACCTGCTTCCAGTGGTTAATTCCCCAACTGAAATGGCAACTGAGGGCTTACTTCATCTGTTCCTCTGACGTCAGCTAAAGAACAGGCTTTCCAGTTCACTGCTTGCCAGTTGGCATAAATCGGTAATGCACTGCAAAGCTGTCTTAGCAGCTGATGGCAGGTAGTGGACTGGGCCCTGGGCAGAGGTGAGGGGGGCCGGCCACTTAGAGGAAGCCACCTAGCTGCTCCTGAGCCCGCCGCAGGCGTGGTTATCAGGAGCACTGGGCTGCAGGGGGTCTTTACCTCAAACCTCTTCAGCTCTTCTTTTGCATTTGTGTACAACACCTCTGAGGAGTTTGGGCAGGCCGCTGTCCTCTCAGCTGACTTGAGCCAGTCCTCAAAGCGGGAGTAATCGTCTAAAAACTTCTGCCACAAGCGCCACGTCTCCTCAATTCTGATGGGAAGAAAGCAACTTAATACAAGCCATCCATTTCCGCCCAAGCTTTCGTTATTTATTTTTATCCTCTCTTGACTGGTCCCATTCCCAACCCCTCTTAGCACTGACACCAATTAGGGGGAGAGACCCTGATACCCCTTCCAAGAAATAATGAGGGAGGTCGCTTCTGATCAGGACACCTTTCTTTCGGGAGTGCCAAGCTCAGAGCTCCTGCTTCACAGAGGTTAACCAATCAGAGACAAGGCTTTCTCCACTACTTTATGCTGAGGACACAAATACAGTGGTCAGCCACGGTTACAGCCCGAGGCACAGGAAAACGGGGGAAAGACATTACCCTGATTATACTTTTCTTGAATAATTTCTTTAATAAGCACTGGCCACGCCTACTGAGCCTTCTCTGCCAACAGCCTTTGAAGTGAGGTGAACAGGACACAGTTACCGTTATTTAGGTCCGAAGGCCGCATCGAATGAGGCTGGCCATGTTTCAAACATTTAGGGGCAGCTCGGTTCTTACTTCATTCGCCGCTCTATCGACATGGCACAAATGTTCCTCCAGCGTCTGTCCAGGCTTCTGGTGGTCTGCTGGATGGAGTCGCATTCCGTCTCATTGGCACAGGCATCAGAGTCGTGCAGTAGGACATCGCAGATGTTAAACACAGACTCCACCCCGGCGCTGTGTTGTTCAATGTCTCGCTGCAGATCCTACGATTACAGGAGAGTAGGAAGCTCCATGAGATGGTAGAGGTGGGAGGGTCGGCCTCGAAGGACCATCACCCCACCCCTCTGTCCGTGTGTCCTGCGGGGCACAGTCCTGGGTGCATTTCTGCCTTGGAATCAGCAACACAGACTGAGTCTGTCTCACCAAGGGAGTCTGTGACACCCTTATGCTGTAGCCCCTAACACAAAGCCTAATAAGCACTGGCGACAACTGGGATGGGTCTGTTGAAATATGTGAGAAGAGTGGGTGATTCTCCCCTGAGAGCCCGCCACCCTACAGATTCTGGGGAGGCAGGGGAGCTGCTCCACACCACCCGACTCCAAGGGCCTTCAAGTTAGACCTGGCTTTGGGGAGGTCTTCCTTGGAGTCTCTTCGGCAGGATCTAAAACTTTAGCAATAGATACTCTTAACCTTTTATGGGTCACAGAATTCTTAAATCTACGACGACCTTTGTGCTATCTTTACTCACACCCCAGACCGTGTGTGCAGGTACATAGTGTCCATAGCCTCCCATGAGCCCATCCACAGCCCAAGGGAAGGATTCAGGGGTAGAGCTTCCCCTGCCACTGATGGGTCCAGCCAAGCTCAGGGATCTCTAGAGTCTTGTCCTGTGACCGGTGACAGTGAAGAGTTCCCCGATTTGGGATAAAGAACATTCATGAAGGAAAAATGCATAGTCATAGGAAAAAATGGAAAGCCTGTTTAAGGACAAACACAGCATTTTCAGTTATTGCCAGAGAACACGTCCTTCAACACACAGGGGGCAGCGGGGAAAGGAGAGATGAAGAGCCTGTTTGTTTTGTCATTCTCGATGAGTTGGGCTTCTCCTGAAAACCAAATTCTGTGATTAAGTGACGTGAGACCACACCACTAACCTTAGCATCCAAAATATGCTGTGAAATAACAAAGTTAAATAAGCTGCCGTTAACTAAAGTTCCCTGGATTCAGCAAAGTTCAGTTTACAGGAGGAAGCACTTTATAAATGGAGCCTGCCTCTGTCTACGGAGACGCATGTAAAGCTCGTTCCAAGTCACTGCAATAATGGAGATGACCACTACTGTATTCCTAGAGAGGATTCCTATTTTCTCACTTTTCTTCTGATAAACGCACAATTTGGATTATTCTGTGTCCAGGTGGATGTGAAAGAATAAAATGCTAACATTCACACTGAATTTTTAAATCGAGCAGTTCTTAACACAGATCCTAATTAAAAATGAGCACCTCAAAGTTATATAAGAAAATGGTTTTTTTGTCTTGTCGCCCTGTCACGTCCTGTAAAGAGGTGTGTGCAGGGTGACTGTTTAAAGCTCTGCAGTCGAGCACAAATGCCTGAAATGCTGTGATGGCGGAAACCTTCCTGGGGTCAGTGCTAGGACTAGCTTTAAAATGATTAAGTTTACAGAGAATTCCAGTTTTTAAGAATTCTTGCTGGTTCACAGAATCGCCACAGGCTTTCTGAAAATTTACCTATATTGATAAATATTCCATTTAACTTTGTTGAAATAATAAGAAATCTTAACACTAGTGCTAGATAAGCAATACTGACAGTTTCCATTAACAAATGGTACCCTCCCTCCCCACCCCCCGACTTCACCTAGCTTTACTGCAGCAGGCTCTTGTTGAAAAGCAGCAAGAAAGTCTAGTCTGTAAACAAACATGAATTCCATGTATTTTAGTAGACTCTTTGCAATTTTTCTACATTTATTCAACTTACATTGAATAAAACAGCTCAAGAAAACTGATTAATAATCAGGGTGGATAATAGCAAGAACTGAGCTCTATGATAATTTATAAAAGACTATCGACATCCTGGTTTAAAAAGTCTAAAAATTTTCAAAATTTATAAAACAAACTTCTGAAAAACACCACAGAGTGACCTACTGATCTCATAGTATGAACTAGTTCCTTCATAAAATATAAAAATGTTGGGCCATACTAAAAATGCAAATCATCTAAGTGTTAGACGAGTGACATTTTGCAAACTGAAATAATCCTACTACTGGCAGGCACGAGTTTGCACAATTATTAGATTTCAAACCTGTTCAAATGCAATCTGAAGAAGTGGACTCCAGAAACAACATAAAATAATGTGAAAGACCTTTGCCAACAGTTCTGGAAAAGGGTTCCTGTTTGGTTTGTGTTTCTGCTCCTGAGCAGGTGACACAGAGCCCTGGAGCTGGGACAGAGCTGAGGAGGAAGATGGAGGGAGCGAGAGGGGATGGGGAGACATGAAGCTGGAGCCCAGAATGCGGCCAGGAAGAATGAGTGCACCAAAGGAACTAGAAAAGTAAGAGAAGGGGGAAGGAAGAAAACTGGGCGAGGGGGCAGAAAATCACACAGGCAGGACCCCGTGGGGGACCTAGAATGTCTCCCTGTGTGGGAGTAGCTGGGGGTGGTGAGCAACCGAGCAGGGTGGTCTTGGGGGGCTGGTGTGAAGCTGAGCTGGCCCACATGGGGAGGAGGCTTTTGGCAATTACGGAATGGGAGGGGAAACAATCACCCCCAAAACACCATGGGGTACCCCACAGGAAACTAGGAAACCAAAGAAAACAAGAGTGATGCTGAACACCCAATAAAAGTGGTTCCTGATTTAAAATTGTCACTAAGGTTACACTTCCTTTCCATTTTGAAGACGACACATTCCACAGGAATAATACAACCCTGATTACCTAAAGAAATTCTATATAAAAGAGAGGAAACAAAGAGGACTCTTGTAAGGTCTGACTCATCCCACACGGGAGCCCCACAGACATTACAATGAGGATCCAGGGACATTACAGCTCTTAATCACATTTGGGGACAAGGACTTCTGCAGAAGGCACTATATCAGGTGGTCTCAAGCGTTTAGGTTTTATTTCTGGAAGCAATCAAGCAACTTACTATATTTAGTAACAGAAACACAGGTAACTTTTTAAGTGGCCTGTAATTTCTGAGCGTGAAACATTTCTGTTTTCAGTGTTTTTGAAGGAGCATTTAAGGCCTGGGCTTAGTATAATAAACACGTGGTAACTTTTTTTTTTCTTTTTTAAACAAAAATACTAAAGAAACCGTAAATACATTAGGTTCCACGGCAAAGGAGAATGAAGGTTGCTAATCGGCTGACCCAAAGATAGGGAGATTATCCTGAATTATCTGGGTGAACCCAATGTAATCCCCAGGGTCCTTAAAAGTGGAACAGGGAGGTAGAAGAGTCAGAGGGAGAAGCGACTACGGAAGAAAACCACAGAGAGGTGCAATTTGCTGGCTTTCAAGATGGAGCAAGGCACCATGAGCCAAGAAATGTGGCAGCCTCTAGAAGCTGGAAAAGGCAAAGAAATGAGTTCTTCTCTAGAGCCTCTGGAAAGGAACTCAGCCCTGCCGACACCTTGATTTCAGCCCTGTGTCAGATTTCTGACTTCCAGAAGTGTTAGGATGCTAAATTTGTGATAATTTGTTATAGCAGCCACAGAAAACTAATACAACATCTAACTTCTTTATAGTAATGGTAGTCCTGAACACCAACTGCATAATTTTTTGTTTTTAGTAACCGAAGGATAAGAATTCCATGATGGTGATTCTGAATTTTATAAAGAAGGAACCTTCAAATCAACCAAATTGAAACTATATACCACTTTAGGACAGGAACAAACAAGGCCAAGAGAGTGGCAGGGGCTCCAAATTGTATGCTTTGGGGAATTGTATGCTGCCTAATTATCCGGTCATTCTTTAAGAGGAATAATGTCGTCAGCTTCTGTATTATTCACCTGAAAAAAAAAAAAATCACCACTCAGGGCAAATGGTTATTTGCAAGGCCTTGCTGGCTACGAGACAGTTCAAGAAATTCATCTTAGTGGATTGAACTTGTAAGTAAAGCCGATAATGTTCAGTAGCTGTGAATCCACTGAGAAGGGCATTAAAATCTCTGTAATGTTCATTGACATAGTACTTATATCAATATTCATTTGTCCACAAAGGCAGAATTTAGATAACTTCAATGGAAAAGATATACTTAAGTTTTAGAGGCTAAGTATTTTTACTTGGTTGCATACTAATTTGAAAATCAGATAGGTACTTTTTAAACTGTAATTGTAAGAGATTGAATACAGATCTAAGTTGAGAGTTAACATCAAATACTCAGCTCTACTTCATGGCAGCAGGAGGTGTCACTTATTACTATTAAAATGACTGACCTAAACTCAAGAGAATTCATCATCAAGGGGGAGGCCTCTGGCCTGAAACTGGTGAAAAAGATTCAGTCCCTGATTCTGTCTCTAGGCAGCTGCGATAAGTGGGTGAACCTGACAGACAGCAAGCACCAAGGCTTTGGACGTAAGCTGAAGAATACAGATCTGAGAACCTGATGACGACCATATTGCTTATATGGTCAAAACAGAATCTGCTCATGGGTCTGAGAAAAACAGAGGTGAAGGAAAGCTAGCAAAAGAGTAACAAACTTAACTGTTCTAACAATAAAGATAAGCTCAGGTATTGCATATGAGGATGAGCATGTGAATACAAGCCTCTATGGGGGGCAGGAAGGTGGATTTGATAAGTCAGTGATAACAAAGAGCATTCCTCCGGTTAGTGTGATGACAAACAATGGCAAGACGCAGTGATTTTCAAATTGGAATTTCCAGGGTTGGCTCAGAGGGTATATAACTGATGAAAGAAGTGGCAGAGCACTGCAAGAGAGGCTTCCTAAGCTATTGGTCCAAGCATGCTCCTTATTACACCTTTTTCGTTCTATTTATATTTTTAAAACTCTATTGGACACAGAATATTATCCCATGAAAACCTTCCTTGTTTAGAAAAATTACTTTCTTTCAATCCACTGCCTTCCAGAAATATATAACAAAAAAACACACAAAGATCAAAGTTAATAAATAAACAAACAAAACGAACGAACCTTATTTGCCACTAAGATTAAGTTCTGCATCTTAAGCAGTATTTAAAGTATTTAACAAAAACGATGTGACTGATGGTGGAAGGGTAGACACTGGAGATAGATGCCTCACACATATAAGAACATGGACAGGTGGACAATTTTCCCTGGAAAAAACAAACTGATAGTATGAAATGTGAACACGCTACAACACACAGCCAACACGAGGAAGGCCTGCGTTAGCAGACCCTGTGCACACCTACACGCTTACAGACGCTCACGTCTCGTTTCCCCACCTGCTGCTCGGCGAGCCTCTTCTGGATCTCTTGATCATCACAGACGTCATAAACAACGGGCTTCGAAAGCTCTGACTCGATTCGAGCCAACCAGGTGCGGAGGTTGCTCATGTTTTTGTCTAGCTGCTGAATGAAAGCAAAGGTCTCCTTCAGCTTCTTCACCCTAAACGTTTGCAGGAAAAAAGGAGGTGGAAAACGAAAGTGCAATGTTTAGTGGTGAGAAGGCACCAGCATGGGTGTAGGAGGGCAAAAAGCAACCTACGCTGGTGATTGATTTCCTAGCGGAAATGACTCTCACCAGCTGTGAACTTTCACAGACTATGTGACACTTCACAAAAATCGCTGTTCCAGTCGATTTCCAAGTGGGTTAAGAGCTATTCTGCCCAAGCGAATCTGAAGTCTATTAGTCCTGGGGTGGGGTCCCTCGAGGCCCAGTCCATCTTTCTGGGGCTCCAGGGGAGGAGGGGTGAGGAGATGCCACTTCTTTCTCTCTCAGTTAAATAACCACACCTGACTTCTACCCTGTTTCTGTCTTGGGTATGCCCAAGATTGCAGCAGCCAGTGACCACCCCGGATGTGTTGAAGATGTTACAAGCCTGGTTCACTTGGTGGCATCTGGCCCACGATGCCTCTCAGGGGACCTTCCTCTTGAGCAAGCACAGAACATGTGCCAACCCCCACAGTGTCCAGTCTGAGGGGCTGAGGGTGCTGTACACACAGAACTAGCCCACTGTGGGGCAGCTGTGTCATCTCGAAGGGGAGTGGAATGCAGCAAAGATAATCAGCAAGCAGTTTAAATCATCTAGCTCACCAATCCACCTGATCTGGCATGAGGTGGATCTGAACTAACACACACATGGCATCAGTATATTTGGTGAGCTCACTGATACGTCACCCTACTGTCAAGGGGAAATGACACAGCTGCTAAGGGAAAACAATCTTTATACAGATCCTGGAAAAAAAAAATGCTTCCACAAAAGTCCTAAAGTAGAGTGAGTGAGGGCTCGTTCTGAAAGTCTATGGGATTTTCAGTGAATTCCAGAGACTTGAAGAAATGGCTACGATGGAAAGTTTCCACTTCTCAATACTCATGAGGTTCTGTCAGAACTCCATCCTGTGGCACTAGGAAGAGAAGCTGGGCACTGGCCCTAACTCACAGGTCGCACACTGCACTCCCCGCCATCATCTCTTCCTTGACGGCCTGTGAACAGCTTCCTACCACCCTCCTTTGGTTCTGTTCCAGATGGCAAGTCTGACGCACACTCAAACGCTTCTGCAGTCCTCACACTACCCTGACATACCAGGATTAAACTGATCCCCTGAGTTTTCAGGTCCTTGAGCAGTCAATGGCCTCTCTGTCTCCAACCCTGCACTCTGCAAAGCAGCTTCTCTTCCCTTCTCCTAGAGCGTCTACCACTGCCCCTTGTCCACGCGCTTCCACAGTACCCAGGCCCTCCAGCTCTGTGTTGTGCCTACACCCTTCATTCACTGTGCACCCATCACATGCTGTGTGGGGCTTGGGTCACTCTGCATGCACAGCACCTCTCACACTACTTGGTGGGCAGGAGGTGTCAAAAAACCTTTGCTGAATGAACACATGTGTATAAGACCCACTACAAGCTATTTAAGTAGA